GGCTCCCGACTGCCCGAGGCCGGGGGCGGCGCGTCTCGAGAGGACGCTCAGGGGTGGTCGCTGTGGCACCTCGGGCCCTTCCAGAATTCGGGTGCGAGGAGGGAGCCGGTTCACCCGGACGGCTGAGCGGGCGGGCGCCCCGCGGAGCCCCAGCAGTAGGGGGCCTGCGGGATGCGGCGCGCCGGGGGGCCGAGGCCGTTCGCCCACTCGCTTGGTGACTGTGCTGAACGCAGGGCATTCCCTTGGCGAGCCGAGGCCAACCTGCGGGTCCCGGCAGCAAAGGGAGCACCTGAGCGGTCCGGCGGGGCGCCGCTGTCTCCCGGCAGAGTGGGGAGCCCGTGCTCTCGGAGCGGAGCCCCCAGGTAGTGCGCCGCACGTAGGCGAGACGGCTCCTCTCCAGCGCGCAGTGTTCCCGGCCCGAGCCCTCAAAAACCTGTGAAATACGCCAGCGCCCCGACTGTCGGGAACCGCAGGGACCCAGGGGGACCTGGTCCCCCTTCCACCTGCTTCCTGCTCTCACCTGCGGGGGGGCAGGTCCGTCTGTCCAATCGCAAGGCCTCCTGCAAAGCTTCCTGCGGCCGTGCCTGGGGCCAGGAATGGGGCCTTTAGTCTCTCAGTTCTCATCATTTAAGAAAATGCCTCCCCTTGCTGCCCTGCTGATGAGCACTGCTTAGAACGGACGGTTTCGTGTTCCCCGCAGATGTTATTTATCCCTGATCAGCGCCTTCTCCCATTTCCTGGGGCTAGTAAAACATCACCTCCTCTCCCTGAGCCCCCAAAGCCCACGCCTGCCCCTCGCTCTCAGAAAATGCCCCAACTACTTCATGAAGGAAAGGGGACTCCCTATTAATTTCTTCAACTTTTCTTACAAACAATGCCCCCACCGCAGCCCAGCCTCCACCTGCCTGGACTCCAGCTTCAAGTGGGGAGAGTGCTCTCCGCCTGTGTGTTGGTTGACTCCCCACCCCCCAAATCTGGTCCACCTCTAGTGTCTAAATGGCAATTCTGCTCAGACCAAAGCCTCCTATCCACCCACCTGGAGTTCTCACCCCTGCTCTGCAGCCTCACAGGCCCTCCAGCCTCTCCACCCCTCCACTGTGTCCCAGCATATCAGCCCTGTCCCTAAAGCTTTCTTTGCTACCCAGGCATGCCCCCCTGGGTCCTAATCTGAGCTTCTCTTTCATGGTAACCCAGATTCTCTTGGGTTTCTGCCCAGCAGAACTCGGACCTGGGTTCCTGCTCTGATCTATGTGTGCGGTGCACTGTCCTGCGTGTGGCCTGGCTGAGACTAGCTGGCAAGTGTCTCATTCCAGAGAGCAGGACCACTACGCATTCACCTTCAGCTGGGCTCTCCACACTAGACTTTTCCTTGTGTGTAGCTCCAGGGGCCACGCTGCCCAACAGTTGCACAGATGCTGACAGAAGACACAAGACTCCTGGGTCAGAGACAAAAGACTTTATTGGCATAGCAGGAAGCTGGGTTGCATGACCTTGAGGGTGAGGCAGAGGGGCCCAGGGATGGCTGCACAGTGGGTCCGCCACACAACTGAGGAGCCCTGGACAAAGGGAACCCGAACTTTTTATAGTGGGCTGCCAACAACCCTGCCCTTATCTTACTATACTGGACAGTAAGAAAATCTTCACTCTGCTCCAGAGGAGGACACTGTCTTCATCTCCCAAGACTGTCTGCATTACCAACATTCTAAAAACATAGCCTGGAACGAAAGGACAGTTAGTGCCTCTGCCCATGACGTGTGCAGAAATGTGACGGACCCAGAAATGTGAGAATGGTCTCCCAGCTTGTCCACGCGTATTTACCCGCATCGCTCCAGGCTCTCCTCTGAGGAAAGCCAGCCTCTCTGTCATGTCCTCTTACCTCCTGCCTCTTCGGGCCTTTCTTGGGGGCCTTTCCCTCCCCTTCCACCAGATCCTAACCCCAGCCTGTGAACATGCCCCAGATAGCTCATCCTAACAAGCAAAACCAAGTCCAGCGGCAACCTCTGTTGAGCTGGCCCCCCTCTTAGCTACTCTGTTTTCTTTTCATCGGAGTTCTTGGTAGAGGAAGTCCATGCTGCCTCCGTTCCTCTCTGTTATCTGGTTTCTTTACCTACACATGTCGCTGACACTGTCCCCACCGAGGCCACCAGGGGCCTTCATCATTACCAATGGAGTAAGCATTTTCAAGGGTAAAAGCCATGCTTTCCTGCTTCTTGTCTTGTCTCATAAATTTTTGTTAGAAATGGAACATTTTAGATAATATATTGTAGCAACTCTGAGTACTGGTAACCCCCTCCCCTCACCCCCAGGCTTGTTATTTGCTTGTTTGTTTGGTGACTGGCTGGCTTGTTTTTGTGACACCCCCACCCTCCACTCCTCTGAAATGTTAGATCCCTGACGTTGCTCTGCAGGGATGGGCAGTTTGGGTGTGTCCACTGTCACCTGGGATGGCAGTGATATGGCCTGGGCTCTCTCCATCTCTTTCCCTGACCACTGCCAGCTTTTAAGCTCCTTTCAGTGCCTGCTGATTGCTCCCTTTACAAAAATGCCCTGGGGCATAAATAGCTCTACAGACTCAAGCTCCTTTGAAGGTACAGCTCCTCCCAGTCCCTTTCCCTGTCTCCCCTGCAAACTCTTCCCAGTGCCTTCGCTGTGTTTGGGAACACCTTCAGGCTTGACTTGGGGAGGAGATTAGCACCTCTCTGTGTTACAGTCTGCGTTGGCCCCTGGGCTGAATGTCTGATCCTGGGCTCTGGAGCTGAGGTGGGGACAATGGTGCGCTTCTCTCAGAATGACACCCGTGTTCAGGTGGTGGGTGGAGGCAGTAGCCTCAGCTCTTCTTGGCTTACCTCTCCTAGCATGGAACCTCCATCTTTCTAAGCCAGGGCAGGGATGACCCAGGCCTCAGTATCAATGTGACATCAAGCCTCTGTTACGAGGGCTGAGCAGGAAAGAGGAGTCCCCATCTGTGGCCACAGTTGTCCAGAACTTGGCCTCAGCCACAGGTAACTGGGGAAGGAGGAGGAATGCTCCCTGGCCAGGAAGACACCCTGACAGGGTGCTCGGGGAGGGGCCCTGTGCTCTGGGGGGCACCATCTCCATCGGAGAGTTTCCTCACTGAGCTGGGAGTGGGGGGAGAGGGAGCAGTTTCGGCTCAAACACCACAGATTCTTATGAACTTCTAGTGGATTTTCTGGACCAGATGTTTCTTCATCTGCTCTCTGCCCTGAGGACCATTTCCGGATTCTTTAAGTGGTGTCTGTTCGCAGTGCTCCCAGAGTCACCCGAGAGAGGGTCCGCCGAGCTCCCAGGCCGTTCTAACCTCACGGGGCTGCACTGTCGCTTGTCTTCCGAGGCTATCGCTGGAATCGGGGGAATTTGAGTACAAACTGGATATTTGGTGAAGCTAAGGAAGTATTAGCTTTATGAGGGGCGATAATAGTACTGTGGTTATTTTAAGGAGGCCGTACCTGTTAGTAATACACACCGAAGTATTTACAGGTGGAACAATATGATACATGTGATGTGCTTAAAATAATCAAGTCTGGGCTATAAGCGGGGAGTGGTGGGGACCACAGCAAGACAAGACTGGCGAAGAGTTGGTCTTTATTATGTCATATTAATAATTGCACAGATTATTATTGATAGGAGCTGCGAATGGCAGCTTGTTACTCTATTCTTTTTACTCTGAATACATTTGTATATGTGCGTTGTGTGTGCTTGAAATTTTCCATCACGTAAAGTTAAGTTTATTTCTTTGTCTACGTGTGATTTTCTTAGAAATATAAGTTCATCATCAAGTTGAATTAAAATCTCGAAAAGCATACGTAAATATTTTTCACTTAGGTGGATTATCGCTTTCACAACATTGAGGAATGAAAACCTCAATTGTCCCATGTTCTGAAACAATCTTGTGTAAGCATCTTTGTAAAGAATATATTTTTTACTAAAATCCATGTATTTCTTGCTATATGAAATGGCATGAATTTCAAGCAAGTTCCTAACCAAAACTTATTAGATGCTATAATTATATATCACAGGCTGGTTTTGTCATTTCAATCAAAACCATTCTTAGGTGATTAATTATTTTATGGAAGGAAAAAAAGCCATGATGAAGATTGTTCCAGTTGTATTTCAGGAATTTGTAAGAATACAAATTTATGCATTGAATTGAAGCTGAGTAGAAACTGAGCTTGCAAAAAGAAAACACAGTTGATGACTGAATTTTGAATTTCAGCTGGGATGTTCTGGATCTGGCAGAGTAGGGATTAGTGCTTGTCATTCAAACAATTAAAGCCCAAAGCTTTTCAAGATTTAAAAGGATTTTTTAATACTTTTGTCTACAGACCTATTATTGGGAGGGTTTTTTTTCAGCCTCTTACAAATGTCAGTTTCTTAAAAAGATAAATGATATTTGTCAGAAATGAGAAACTAGTTTTGACAGTAGATAATTTATTTGCCCACTTTTATTATCCAGTGCAACTGATAAAGTTTTGTGCAGTTATAATTGGTCTTGGTAACAATAGGAAACAAAAGTGTTAAAATTACAAAACTTAAAATGATTTTATCATTAATCTCAATTGTGCTGCCATAATATTGTCTTAATTATAATTCACTAACTATTTTAAAGTAAATCATATTGATTAAAATTTTAAAAAATCTATGGTACTTAAAACTGTTCCAAGAAACTTTTTTTATTAGTTTGGAATCCATATTGAACCCATTTGCCATCTTAGTCCTAAATACTTTTCAAATCTATGTTCATCTCTCCACCCATACTACATACAGGTGGCTGTACCCACTTGCAGTACAACTGTCTCCTAATTCACCTCCCTGTCTGCCCTTTTGTCCTTCCAAGTTCACTTTCACTCGGCTAACTGCCACTGTGATTTACAGAAGGTGGAGACACCTGCCCGTTTCTCTCCTCTGTTTGAAAATTTTTTATGGGTCCAGATCACTGACAGTAAGTTCTCAAGCGTGAGAACACACGTAAAGGAGAGCCCTGCCCTCCAGTTTGAGAAGTGTTGTGTTAGAAGTCAAAGTATGACCATTTAAATAATCATAAGTACAAATGTGGGCACTGAGACCACACGGTGATACCTGCTTATAAGGGCCCAGGTGACCAAGAAGGCTTATAGGAAACTTTTAAAAGAATGTCATTAAACTAAAAACACTGAACTGAACATTCCTCGTAGACTTCTGGATGAAGATGACAGACTGAACACATGCATCCAATTATATCCCCTCCTGAAACCCCACTAAGATGCTAATAAAGGGATTTTTAAAAGCATAAACCCACAAAGTCAGGGAGGAGAGGACTGGAGACCATAACACAATTCCAGAAATTGAAAGCAGAAGCTAACGGATTTAATATCTCAAGATAGCTGAATACTCAACTTGTAGTGAGAAGCCAAGAACCAAATCAATTTTTACTATAGAGACTTCGAAAGGGTTAGGAATGTGGCATTTTGGAAATGAAATGAGGGGGTTAACTATAATAAGGACAGGTAGAAAGCTGTTTAAGATGATTCACTTCTACATACTCTTCAGCCACTTGACTGCCCCTCCCAACCCTGGCAAAAGACCAGAGGTTTTTCCCACTGGAGAGTTCCATGGAGTCTTGCTTGGTCTGGAGGATACCAGGCAGCATTGAACATGTGGTATGTTAATGACGTCAGGCAGGGTAAAGGAATATGTGGATACTAAATGCTTCCAGAAACGAGGGCAATGGAGATAAATGGATAGAAAAATTGAGAAAAATTATAGGGTAAATGTAGGAGGTACAACCACATAATAAGAGTTCCAGAAAGAAAGAGAAAAATAGGAAGGTACAAATCATCAGTGAAAATAATTCCATAAAATTTCCCAGCATTGAAGAACATGAGTTTCCAGCATGAAAGGGCCCACAATGGCCAGAGAAGTTTTGACAAGATTCCAGAAAAAGAAAAACAGGTTACATAAAAAAATAAAAATAAAAAAAATCACCCTGACTTTCTCAAAGGCAAAAGTAGAGGCCAGAAAGCAATGGAGCAATGTCTTAAAAACTCTCACAGAAAACAAATTTTAATCGAGAATTCCATACCTAGCCAAACTATCCATGCAATGGAGGAATAGGCTTTTTCAGCATTAATGTCTTTTAACACTTTTCCTTTCTTCTACTTCTTTTCTAAAGGAAGCTTCCTGAGGACTTGCTCCACCAAAATGAGAGTATAAACTAGGAAAAAGAAGGTATAGGGTAAATAAAGGAGACTCAACACAGAAAAGAGTTGCTGGGACGATAGTGGAAACATGGGCCAAGTGCGGAGGACAACCAGGCCAGACTGCAGGAGGTCAGAAGCTCAGGGAATGATTTCTTTCTCAAAATAATGAAACAGATAAAATCCCTGGCAAGAATCAACACTTTGAGTGGACAGTTAGGCAACTGGCAGAAAATTTGAGATAAAATTTTTGGTGACTATATAGAAAACAAAGCAAACCCCAAACATAACAAGGTCAATGCTGGGACAAAGTAGGGGGACATTGTGCAGGAAAAGTAATTATAGTTTACTACATGGCCCAGTTGTGGCTAGCATCTACGTAACTGTAATAATGTGAACACTGAATCCTGAAATAACCTAAATAATGCTATGATTAAATTGGGAGGCAGGAAATGTGCATGTGTGTGGTGGGGCAGGTGTTGGGTAGGTAGCCAAGACCTGGAATAACTGAAAATCTGTTTAAGAAGGTTAACTTCCACACATATGGGATGTCAGTAGGTAATGCCTAAAATCAAAAGTGTGGAGGTAGCCCTAGCTGGTTTGGCTCAGTGGTTAGAGCGTCAACCCATG